TAAAAACCTCCTGAATGATGAAGAATGAAGTAATCTGTCTTTTGTAATTGGTTTGATTGACAACCCTCAAGTGGAAGAATATTACAAATTGTTTGGTTCCTTAAGTTTGGCAGGTGTATTTCTCCAAAAATGTCCTATGAAACTCCCAAAGATGTCTGACTCATCTTGAGTAACCGGGTCATGATTTCTGAAAAGAGACGTGGCTGTTTAGTTTTTAAAAATCCTTTTTTTGGCACTTTTAGCACCACAAGCGAAGTGCCATCTAGTACCATTACATTACAATTTTGAGGTGTACTGTCCCTTTAATTCCACCTTGGAATCCAAACAAGCGCTGCTTTACATCATGTGGTCTTTGTTATTTGATGTCATTATGTAGGAGCATTGAAAACACGAATTCTCTCTCCAGTGTGTACACTAAAAATGTCCAACCGTTTCTGTTTGCTTTCTTTTACATTATGAGTTTTGTTCCATGAATATTTCTCCATCTCTAGGGATCCAACACTTTACTCCCTTCCTTATTTTTCAGGATTTTATTCCTTCTGACACCCTGGATCACAGTGTGAGATATATTTCTAAAACATCAACCCTAACCTGTCTGGCCCTATATTCGTCTATTATATTGTGCAGCACGATTTGACCGAAGTTAGGAAAAACAACGGCGGTCTCGGGCTGTGTGTGAAATCTGGTTGACAGCCAGATAAAACATTTGAAGCCACAAGCCAAATGTTCTGGCTTCATAGGTGGTCTGATGTTTAACGCTGTATGTTCGACCGAAGTTGACCCTATAATACTTTTGGTCTGGCTCTAATGCAGCACATTTAAAAACTCTGCTTTGTCAGCATTCCCCCTCCCCATTCCCCCTTAGATGCTTCTTAAAAGCTTTTCCTGGTACACTTTGCCTCGCAACAAGAGGCAAACAAGGCAACAAGGTGGCACTCACAGTTTAAAGTGTATACAGATTCATTTCTGTGGAAACCAGATATACTCTTGTATATTTTAAAGTGTCTAATTGAACTAACATTAGATGAAAACATTGATAACACTCACATCTGTTTGTTAAACATAAGGCTACTGCCAGCAGTGTTGGCTTAGCTTAGCACAAAGACTGGAAACAGCTAACCTGGCTCCTGAGTCCCCACCGGTTGCCTGGCAACTGCTCCCAGCTAAGAAACAGCCTCTTTAAAAAAACACAACATATTATTAGTACTCCATTTGTTGATTGCCCAATTTCTAGCCCGTCCTAACTCTTGTGTAAGTGCATGTACAGACAGACTAATTACGTGTTCAGGTATATTAGAGAAGAACAGGGTTTATACGTTCATTTTATTCACTCAAAAATGTTTCTTTTAAATAATAAAGTCCCTCAAATGCAAGACAGAGATATAGGCTAGTGACCTTACCATCCTTAAGTTTATTGTTTGAAAGATATGAAGTCTGCACTTACAGTTATCCCAATCATGAGGATGGTTGTCACACACTATGGGGTGCGGTGTCACTATAGTATTTCATTAGGAAAAATAAGTTACATTTAACACTTTGTAATGTAATCATTGCACATTTCTCTGTAAAATGTGCACATTTTTGCACAATGCTAAAACGGCACGTCTTTTCCTATTTTAAAGTGGACCTATCATGCTATATTTAAATGATATATTGTAGGGCCATACCTATATAAGGTATATTTATACGTTTCTGTTTTCAAAATACCAAACAGATCATGCATTTTAGCCATGCCTCATTTCGCTCTATGTGCTGTTTGCTGTCTACGGGTCTGATTCTGCTGACCACGCCCCCCTGCAGGAAAGGGGAGACGTGCTCTGATCAGCTGCTGGGCTGTCAGAAGAGGGGGAGAAAGATCTCCGTCCTCCGTGTTTTATTATATAGAGTCGTTATTCATTTGTTTTAAAGCTCAATAAATAACAAAGAAGACCTTTGACCGGCACTTTTCAAATTTCGTCCGGAAGATTTAAACTTTAACGGACATCTTGACCGGCGAAACAAACTGAAACTGAAACTCTGCCACACGGTCCCCCCGTTCCTTGGAAGAGGCGGAGAGGTGGGTGTTTGTCATCTGCTGGTGGACTAACCGGAGAGAATTACAGTGCTTGCCTCGACGGGGAGGGATTGCATTGAATTACAGCAGCAGGAGCAAACGCTTGCCTCCGGGAGGGAGAAAAAAAGCCACAGCGGAGAATAAACAGAAGGGTAACCATGGTAACTATGGGCGGGAAGTCTTCTTCGCTGCTTTTGTGGCAGACTACAGCGCGACTTACAGGCCTGGCATATGTACTACAGCGTCTCCAGCGCTTTCGAGCGGCAATGGCCGGCCGTGGCCCAACCCCACATTCCCCTGATAGGTGGAGAGTTGGCCCAATAGCCGTAGCGCCACCGTCCTGACGTCAGGACAGTGTTCAAATCTGGATCAGTTTTTATCAGATCCGTTGCAGCCCCTTTTTTAGAGATTTGGGTATGGAGGAAAATAGAGAGGGTTGTGTTTTCTGACACTTGGTGAGTTCCCTGACACACTGGGGACACATATTCATGTATAAAAGACGTACAAAAGTGCATTTTGCATGATAGGTCCCCTTTAAATTCTGAGATACTGCACATATTTTATTAAGTAATTTGTCATATTGTTATTGTCATTTCCCTTTGTTCTTTTAATGTTATAATACTTTTTATAAAAGAATAGTATATTTTACAACCTTATTCCTTTTATTGTGTTTATGTAGGCCTATGCTATACAACAAAGCAAATTATGTAAACCTACAACCTAAAGTTGAAATACGACAACTTAATCATTGAAATGCTTCAACCTAATATGTATCCTGCTTCCGGGGGAATAATAAAAAAAGAAGGAATAATTTTTTGTATGGCTTTTTTTCATTGTTATATAAATAATAGTCAGTGAACCAAAGAGAATGAGACAAACAACCTCAACTTTGTTTAGTTTGCTAGTGGCTAAGCTAACATCCACATGTTGTAGCTTAGCTAAAAAACAAAAACTGTAACTCTGTCTTCATACTTGTTATTGTTTATAACTTAGCTGTGTGAAAGCCTAGAAAGTAAAACACACAACAGCTGAAAATGTTCATTTGGGCACAAAAACACTCACCCCAGTTTCTTACACCTGAAATGACGCTGTAGGTGACCTCTGACCCCAATTGTTAACATTTCAATCACTTTTTTTTAACAGCGCCCTCTAGGGAGCAATAACTTATTCATGTTATCAACAACCAAGTTTTCCTCTATATGAAAAATAAAATCCTGCTGCATCATCAGCTTCCTGATTTTTACAAATACAGATGGTGTGTCTGACAGATGTTTTGTGTTCTTTGTGTTGTCTTCTTGAGCTAACAGAGTGAAACCAAAGCCCCGTATAAATCCAGTCCTCGGAGGAAAAGGGAACCATGACAACCATATTCAATTGACTCCATTATCATATCTTTTCCAGATGTAGTATATATAATTCAAGACCTCCTCCTCCTGCCGGACCTGCTGTTTGCTCCGTGTTTTCGCTTGAAAGACGTTGAAAATATATTCACTGTTGTGCATTCACGTTACTGTTGCACCCTAGTGACAACAGCTGATAGACCTCCTAAAATAAGACACCTTACCTCAGTCACTGAATACTCTACTTGAGTACAATAGTAAGGTACTTGTACTTTACCTAAGTGTTTACTGCTACCATATACAGTACTTCTACTATTCTACCATTTTAAAATGCAGGACTTTAACATGTAGTTAACAAGTAGTTTTATATTTAGTACTTCTTTTATGTAGGCCTATAGCCTAGTAGTTTTATATTTAGTACTTATTTTAAGTAAATATAATACTACTTGTTAAATGTTAAAAGTTAAATGTACGTAGTCCACCTCTTCTTAACCTTTATTTGTAACCCATCAAATCACAAAGTTAGGTTTTCTCAGTGCTACAGTATATCTTATCTATACTCTGCTAGCTTCCTGTGATGCAACAGGAAGCTAGCAGAGTACAGATAATAAGATGCTCATATTGCAGGCAGTCACACAGCTCTCTGTGTGCACCATTGTTATCAGATCTAGCCTACACAACATTGTTTGCGTTGAGAATGGCAGCAGTATTGGAGACTAAACAATTCCCAGAATGCCTGGAACGCTGCTATTTTTCCCCAGTCGGAGTGGCGTGGTTGCAAGGTCTCACCACAAACAAATCTGCTGTTAGCGTGTGTGGAGAGCAGCAGGAGAGCTGAGGCAGCCCACTGTCACTCGGGGGGGCAAAAAGCAAAACTTGAGTCGAGTAGTCTGCATTTTTCAAATAAAAAAGCAAGTAAGAACAGTATTTTTGCATTGCAAGGGGCTTTCCAAGTTCTTTCACCCCTGAAATGTGTCTTTTCAGTTTTTTTCAACATCCATAGACCGTATATAGTAAGTGGACCACACCGAAACATCACCCAATGGTTAGTGGACTACAGTTTTGAAGCCTGGAGTTTGGCGCTTTGGTCGTTGCCATCTTGTTTATGGCAACCAAAACTCAATGAGACACGAGAGGGTGGAGCAATGTACAACTGAACACTGAAAAAAAATGTAAAGCCTTAAAAATGTTGCATTAACTTTTATGAATTGTTAAAGGGTTCATGTTTTTATAGAAAACCCAAAAGTGCACTGAAAATGCCATGTTACGGAGCTGTCAATCACAAGGTAGCCCCACCCTAAAGCATATGCTGCGTATTCATTTCTTCACTCTAAATGGGACCATACATTATTAAATGAAAATGCTGAAGTGAAACTAGCTTTTGAGAACATGTTAACTAGGACAATACATCAATACAAAATGAGTAGATCATTTTCTCATAGACTTCAATACAATCTGACTTCTTTTAGCCACCAGTGGATTCACCCTCTTTTGGATATTAGAGAACATGCATGTTAAAGACACTTGGATGTACTCAAAGTTTGCCAAACGACAGATGTTTTAGCAGACTTTCATCACTATGTTGCTTTTCAATCAAATAAAAGGAGTGATATCAATGTTAGTTTATTGTTTAATCAGTCTTTGACTCAGTTGACAATAGAGTAGATTACTTACAGAATCTAAATATATATATCTCAGAAAAATAATACTGTGTTTTGGAAAGAGCATGGTATCTTCCTGTAAATCTCTCACATACAATATATACACATTCTTTTGTATTATACATTATACACTTGCATACACAGTCACAAAAAGCATCACATCTGAAAAAGTGGACTCTTGAGGTTTTGCCGTTCAAATAGTTAAAATGCATCTGTATACATTCGACACACGAGAACTTGGAGGGTGTTTTTACACTTCTGGTCTCTTCAGCAATTGAACTGAGCGCAGTGATTATTATTCAAATGTCTTCGCCCTGATGTGAGATTATGGCCCCTCTGGAATAATAAACCAAACTCAGCAGTAATCTGAGTTGGGTCGGATTTTGGCCTCAAATTGATCTTTCTTTTTTTATTTATCCAGTTGTGTGCATCGTGCAGTCAGTCCATTTTTTGCTGATTGCTCATTATTACGTCTGCCAAGAAGTTTGTTTTAGGTCCCGTCTCTTACTTACTTTAGATATTTAAAGAGAAATTCAGATTTAGATGGCACATATCAAATCAAGCAATCTTGCAAAACGTGGCGGTGTTAAAGGCAACATGGTAAAGTTAGATAGTCATAATCAATCGGAGTAAGAATACTTTATCCTGGGGGGGATGAAGATTTGGACTGACAGGTGAATGCCTTTAAACTTAAAATTAATTATCAAAAATATGTTTTTTCTTAGTTGGATGTCTGAATGAAAATAAAGTATCTGGATAAATTGCTACAAAATACCAATTGGAACATGTTCAAATGTCACACTCAACAATAGAATCTTTTTAAATCAAGTGTCATTGTAGGCCCTTTTTTCAAATAATAGTTGGGGGTTTCAGTAATTGCATAACAAAAGTGCACCAATTCTGGGCTGATAATGAACACCAATACAACACAATGCTGCTTACACGTCCTCCATGAGACATTCACAAGCTTTGATTCAAACCACTTATCATCTGACCGTGTGCTACTGTTTGCCTTACAATCCCAAATGCATTAGGACTTTGATCCAAGTTCAAATAATGATTCACCGTGTCACACGATCCAGACAACCTTTTTTTTTTTATGGGGCGGCACATATTGCAGCACATAATGTAAACACACAGCCTCAGTTGCAAATAAACAGTCCTTCTCACTGATTGATTGTGGATACACGTACAGAAGGTGGGGCTCTGCTGCGAACCGTTTCATACCCCACGTGGACAAAAATATCCCTAGGTGTTAAAAAAAATGTGTGATATATTGTGAATGTCAACAGATGTATGATAAGCATTGAATCTATTTAGCACATGCGGCATTTACAGTGAAAGTCAAAGACACCTTTGAAGGTGTAAACTGTCTACAAATACATATGATTGTTATTTATTTAGCATTTGAGTGAAAAAGTGTGCTCACTCTCTATTTGTCTTCAAGTGAATGCCCCACCTCGCTGCATGTATCTGTTCACAGGGAGATTCACAAACTGGCCAGTAATGCAGTGATGCAACAGACCTCAAGCAAAAACAAGTTTAAATTCTAATTTTCAAACTGGTGTCCAGTCCGTTAGCTTAGTGGCAGGCAAGAAGCGGCTTTAACGGGAAAAGTGCAGATGATCTGGAGCAGCATTGCAGTTTAAAATCTGCTGTTTGTAGGTGCTTGACAGGCGACTCATATATCATGTGTGGAGGTTTTTGAAATGTGAACTAGTCAGGCTTCATACTTCCACTGGACACAACTTCCCAAACGCTCTCACAATGCGGGGAATGTCCATGCCTCCTCCTCTGTGACCCTGTGGGGACTTCACCATGTGAGGCCTTCATGTATATTTCCTTAACCAATCACATACTGGACTGAGGCTCTGTTCTCATACTGATGAGCTGATTTTTAAAGAGTGGATTTGAGCTGCTTAGGCTTGACAGGTGATGTGATTTCAGCAGAGATCACAAGAGGTATACCGGTTATGACTGAACCCTGAATAATGAGCGATGTGTCATGTAGTCTGTGTGACTTTAAAGTGATGTATATTAATTGTTTATGCAACAAAAAAACGTGTTACCTGTGTGCTGTGTTATTTATTACAGTGAAACATCCCCTTAGCAGAAGCTACGTGTAGGTGCCGAGAAAGAAAATAGCTTTTGAAATGAAGAAACCATCAATGTTGTACTCTACCTTTACAAATGAGAAGATTATTTGCTCTGATTATGAGGAATCACACGTTTTAGTTTAAGATGAATCCAGCTCTTTAAATTCAGAGCTGTCATCTCATTCAAGTGGACAAGGCTTTTAGTTTGAGGGCGATAAAACACTGATGTTCACTGGCAGCACAAAACGTGGGTCGGCAATGGTTCTGCTAGTGTGTCAGGAGAAAGCATCATGAATTATTTATTCATTATTCGAGTTTGGACTTCAATTGTATATCATTATTGCAATCGTATATATTAACAGTTGCTTTTTAAGTTAGAAATTCAAGCTAACATATCCTTGATGTTATTTTAAATAGTAGTGAATTCTTTCCAAAATGTATCTAAATCCTATATCTCAATAGTCAACATTTTATTTCTCGATACTTGTGAATGTTTGGTTTAGATAACTCTTATTTGATTTCACCTTTCTTAAAACATTGACTTCTATTCGAACCCAATTGCATATATTTAATTTAATTCATTTTTAAATAATTAATCATTCATTCATTTTGATCAATTTGACACATTATAATTCCAAGTCGACATATCCATAATGTCATTTTGACGAGTCCTAAGCAATATCTAAAACTCAATTCTCACTTATCAAACTGTTAAATTGATATTCAGAACTCACTTTTTAAATGTTCTTGATCGTTGTAATTTGTAACATGTCAAATCTGCTTTACAGATATCGGCATTACATATTAAAACTAGTCGACATGACATTTGACACTTCCACTGGTAAAAACAGAATTGCTCCTTGAAAGCCAGGCTGATTAAATGTTCAAAGGGCAATGTGAGTCTACAGTGAAATCAGGAATAGGTCAAACTTGTTCTCAGAATATTAATAACACAGCCGATGCAGGAGGCCGCACAGACTGCAATGACAGAGTGCTCGCCTGTTTGTGTGAAATTTGGAGAAAACACCGCGCTGGGTAGTTAATGTGCCAATTTACCGCCCTCAAACTAGAAGCTTATGTGTCTTAGTGGAGAGCTTCACTCAGTGACAACAAATAACAGCACTTAGTGGTTCTTGCTTTGTTTGTCCTCTCCCTGCAGAACTGAGCAGATCAGGTTCTGGAAGGTGAAGGAAATTCCAGTCAGCTACGTCGCTCTTAACCCAGTCCAGAGCAGCGAGGGAGCTCCATCAGATACTGGCTCCTTTGGGGGGGGGGGGGGATAAGTGCCGGCTATGCCAAGAGCTTGAAAAAGTGGGAGTTAGAGGGGCATGGGTAACAATCTCCCAGGATGGGGTCTCACGTCACCACTTGCTGCAATGTGGAGCGTTCAGGAGGGCAGGACTGGGTTCTGCAGCGCAGCCTACTGAGCAGCCGCTGGAGCTTGTTAGAAAAGTTTTTGTTCATCTGTCGATACATGAGAGGCATCGCAAAGCTGCTGGAGAACGCCAGCAGCTTGGACACGCATCTCAGAAAGTTATATGTGGGTAAGTAATGTGTGTTGCTAATGTACCCCGGCGCTCCGGCCACAGTGTGTACCAGCAGGGTCATGTAGTACGGCGTCCACAGCACAAACTGCACACACACGGAGGCCAGCAGCAGTCTGTGGATGGAGGGGTCCAGGCGGGCTGAGTCCTGGTCCAGGGGCGTGGACTCCTTCCTGATGCGCAGGATGAGCACGAAGGCGTAAAGAACAGCCACGGCGGGAACCACGTAGCCGATGAACATCATGATGGCGTCCGCCGCCTCCTTGTTCTGCATTTTGGAGCACTCGACCATCTTGGTGGAGATGTGGTTGCACACGTAGAAGAGCAGCGAGGAGAAGCTGGTGAGCACGGCGCCGCCCCAGATGAAGCCGCACACGTGCTTGGTGTTGTACACGCTGGACATGTACGTGCGAGGCAGCGCCCGCTCGATGTAGTAGTCCAGACTGAGCAGCGTGGTGGAGTACATGATGACCAGGGAGGAGATGTTGAAGAGGATGAGCAGGGTGATGTACACCTCGTTGTTGTACTCCCACGCGTGCCAGCGGGTGAAGGAGGAGTTCAGCAGCTCCACGGGCGCCACCAGGTTGAGCACCAGGCCCGCGATAGCCATGTTGACGAAATAAACATCCGGCATGGTCATGGAGACCTTGTTGGAGAGGTTGACCACGATAAGCAGCACGTTGTAGCACAGCCCCAACGGGAAGCACACCAGGAGGTAGATGAGGGAGAACACGGACAGGATGAGGCCGAAGTCCTGGCAGAGCCGGAAGTCCACGCTGGTGTCCGTCTCATTGTAAACCATGCAGAGCCACATCGCTCTGACTCTGGGAGCCTCGCTCAACAGATCCACTGCAGGCAGAGTGAGGGAGACACAAGTTAGTTACGGAACAGATACATAACGTCAAAGTTGCAAATAATTGGCAGTAAAAATAAGAGCTGGCAAATATCTAGGGCTGTAACAATTATTCTGGACAAGCTATGATTGCTGTCCATTCAATTTAAGAATGTTTTTATTCCAAAAGAGATAACAAAATCCTAATATTTTGAAACAAATCATAATCTCAATAATTGATATCACGATTATTAAAAACGATTATCCATTTACTTTGAAAACATCCATTTATTGAAAAAAAAAATGTGAACAGTATGTTTTTAACAGTTGATTACCCTGAACTTTAAGTATAATTCAACTGAAAAACCAATAAAGAAAATAATTAAAAAAGAAATAATTAAAAAAAAATAAAATAAAAAAATAATCGTTTTATTTCGATTATGTTGTTTTCATAATCGTTGCAAGCCAAAATCGTAATTGCGATTAAAATACGATTAATTGAGCAGCCCTAGTCAATTGTCAGAAAAAAGTGAAAACTATCCATCCTAAATCGGAGGTGATGTTTATAAATGTCTTCTTTGTTAGTCCAAAACTCAAAGATGTTCACTTTAATAAAACATAAACCAGGAGAAAGCAGGAAATCGCCAATTTGAGATCATTTTCTGACAGATATGCAAGAAAAATGTACCAAAACGATTCTAGGATTATCAAAATAGTGGTAAATAATATGGTAAACTATCAATAGAACTACCAGTACTTTCATATGGCATTTCCTTGAAATTCAAAGAAAAGAACAGCATGCAGTTTCATTTCCGTGTGTGAGACCAATAAAATAAGCTCAGAACATTATACCCTGTATATTATCACTGTATTAAGACCCTGTGAGGAAAGGAAATTAAAGCAATACCACAATTATAAAACACCCAAAATCACATCGTAATTCATGTGAGCTTATGTGGACATACGTTTTATGTATTATGGATATATTCTATGTGCGGCTCTGTGTGTGTGTTCCGTGTTTTGCTTGGCTGCAATAAAAAATGTAACAAGTTTAAGCTGAGAGTTGAAACTCACAGCGGACATTACTCACTTATTATATTACTGAAGTCAAACTCTCTGTTGCTGGCAATTGTAAGTATTAGTCCAAGTTTTGAGGAAGTCACAACAAAACAAACCACATTCACTTGTTTTTCCCCTCCATGAGCAAAATGGAATTGGTTTCTGGGAACAAACAAGGCCTTGACACACACAAAAAAAACACGTCAGCCACGGCACAGCTATTGTACCCTGGGTAACACTGTTAATTTCACTTCACTGCATCTGACTGGCTGAATACAAACGCCTCACAATATGTCTCGTTTCGAAACCCACTCGTTCTCCTCTTTCAGAGCCACACCGGGGCCGAGCAAGTGTTTGACGCCTCGGCAAGCCTTTCCTGTCTCGCTCGACCGCTCTCTCCCTCTCTCTCTCTATCACTGTCACATGCGGGGGCATTGCTAGCTGCGCAGTGCTGCCCTTGTGCTTTTCACATGGTCAAGCAGCCTGGCACTTTATAGACTGCTCCAGAGGTGGGAAGTAACTAAGTACATTTACTCAAGCACTGTACTTAAGTATAACTTTTTTAGATACTTGTAGTTTACTTGAGTATTTCCATGTTATGCTACGTTGTACTTCTACTCCACTACAGTTCCGAGGTAAATCGTGTTCTTTTACTCCACTACATTTCTTTAGTTACTTTAAATATTTGGATTAATGATGTGAAATATAAACAACACTTACGACTGTAGCTACACCTGGAGTAGCATTCACAAGCTACCCTGCAGTATACAAAGAAGTGGGGGGCACGTGGTGATGGGTAGATTTATAAAGAGTGAAATGCGAAGCAGGCTCTGGCGGAGGGTCGGCTAGGATCAAGGCGCGGGGTTGGAGTTCACGGTGAGGTCAGAGAAGATGACTGCGCGCACGTTGGGAGTGTTTGAGAGCGAGCTTGACAGGCCTGCAGGATTTGAAAAGGTTGTGTAATGCTGCCTGCATAATTAACTCAGGTCACTTTAAGTGAATTATTCAAACAGCTTCAGTGAAGGAAACAGGAGATCACAGGGCTATCGCAGGGCCGCAGTGATAAGTCACGGTGTTTTATTTCCTCAGCGACAATTTAGCAGTTGGGTTTTCCACATGTTTGGCTTCAGCCCCGAAGCTGCTGTAAAAAGGGAAAAATAAAGAGCATAACACTTTTTTTTTTAAACGTATCGAAACAGAATTTACTCCAAAGCCTCCCCCTTGAAGATTCTGCGGAACAAAGTGCAGGAAGGCAGTTTTGTTTTCTCGCAGGATGAGTAACGATGCCAGTAAAGGGGAAACATTCTTCTGTTCACTTACGTAACACCACTACTCAGGGGCTGTTTTGGCCTGAAGCCTCCCACACAGACGCACACACACAAGGTCCCTCCTCTATACTACTCCAATTGGCTGTAATGGGACTATTATAGAGGCTGGGGCTCAGAGCTGGAAAGTGTAGAGTTACTCTTTACAAAACAACCTGTCCTCACTAAGACGGGAGCCCCGCTCAGATGTCTTGTAAACACGGCTCTCTAACGTAAGCAGCTAGGTGACTCATTTACTATAAACAGGCCTTGACACAAGAACATAATCAGCTATGGTGCTCTGCCATAGATGATGTGCTTCCCTCTAAAGTGGAAGACGTTTGTTTATCTTTTACTGCTTTAACATCGTCTTATCACTTAAGGAGAAAATGACTTAAGAATAGCTGGTGATTATTAAAGAGACTAAAAGGCATTGTGGTCGGTCGTCCCCATTCATTAGCACCTGCTGTGTACGGATGGTTTAGCCACCCTTTCATTAGCACATTGGCACTACTACTTCTAAGAGCTTCCTTACAGTCTGGGTAAAGGCAGTGTTAGCCTAGTGTTTGACACAAGACAAAGACAAAGCCATGGGGGAATATAGATGAATTCTAACGCTATGACATTTACATTTAGCAATTTACTGGTAAACTGAAAACTGAAACTGGAATTTCAAACGTTCACTTACTCGAAGTGAAACAAATTCCACTTTTTAAACCACTCAAGGAATAGATACAATGCAATAAGGTTGTGGCACCTTAAAAGAGAATTAGTATTAGTAAGCAATACCACAGCAATTTCTCCAATTCACTGCACAATAAATCACATTTAGATATTATAGCCTTAACTAATCAATGTTTTTAATAATAGCTTTCATATTAAACTTGTGAATAACCACTGCTAGCGTTGCTGTGTCTGAATCAAATCACTCTTGAGCAAACTCTGCTTTGGTGTTGTCATGCACTTTAGCTCTGCACAGTTTGCCAGCAGCCCATGATAATAAAATCTCGACTTTTCCACTCCACTGAGGGAAGCGAGGTGAAAGAAAAACGTCTCCTCCTACTCATATGAGCTACAGTATGTCTGTTTGAATTCAGAGTGATCAGGTCCAATTTGAAGCTCATGCTAGTTTCTGCCACATACAGATGGAAGTGATGCAGAACAGAGTTGAGTTAAGGTCAGAGATACGCTGTTCAAATAAACAGGAACAGGAGCTATATTCTGCTATTATTAAAACATGTGTACTTCCTGATAAAGTTCTCTTTGAAGAATATGTATGCAGTCATTTAACAATGCATATTAGTTATTGAAGAATGCATGCAAGTATGCAACAATAAGTTCAGGAGAAGGTGGCTTTTGCATATCCTAAAGGAGGCTAATGTAAATGACATTGCCAAGTAAGAATAGCCTAAGCTCTAGTGAGAGTTCTTCTTGCACGACTTGGACTGCAGTTGTAGACTTGGTTAAGCCCCTTCTGAACTTTTTGCCTCAGTCCGTGTCAAAAGCGGTTAAGTTAAATATTCCCAGAGGAGTGGGGGGGGTGTTCCAGCGCGCTTCAGCCCCACCAAACATTATCTCGTAAGAGTGACGCCCACGTGCTTGACGTCTGAGCATTTTGAAGGCCAGATATCGCCGTCTGATGGGAGTTAGTGTGACATTCTGGGCCCACACCCCTCATATATCTTTACTGGAATTTACAGGCTCTTCTCAGAAAGTACTGAGTGATGTCACATGATTCGCTCCTTGCGTCTGCAGCAGTGTGCAGCGGAGCAGCAACCAAAATACTACAGATAGAAAATACATGACTCACATTTGCACATGCAGTGACTGGGCAGCAATGTCAGAAGCAAAGTAAAACAGAATCACATTGATTCATGAAGTTTCTTAGCAATTTAATAAGTATAATGAGTATCTACCCACATAACTGCTAAACTACTTACAGTATGAGAGGCCATTAAGATGCCTATTATTCCAGTACCTAAATCTTTCCGGCTCTAGTGCATTTCTAAACCTTTTGTTCTTGGAAAGCAGTCTATTAACAGAGATTATTAATGAGCCATCTGACTTCAGGTGCATGCTAATGCTGCACAACATTTTGTAAATGAATATCACCAAGGGGTGATTAAAATACTTGACACCGACTCCATTAAAGTGGAAGGGTTTAATATAATCGTGACATTTTTCCCCAAATCATCATTGGTCCCTAAAGGCCCTGACACACCAAACTGACACCAAAGAACACGTCCCGACGGACCTGATTGTTGTGTCGCCTCATGTCTCCTGTGTCTTGGCCAAAAAGTCGCACTGGAACACACCGCAAAGACTTCAACCGACGGCCAAGTAGCACGTACGCACTGCGTGCGCATGCGGCAATAACTCTCCTTACCAGCAGGCGTCGGTAGTGTGTATTCTTAATTCAAAAGAGGCAACCGGAAGACAGACTGCGTGATATGTACAAACAACAAATAGCGTGCGTTCCATTTTCACTCTCGTCCATCACAGACTGTTTCACATAACGACTTATAATCGAAAACATGTTTAGTGCGGTACTGGAAAATGAAAAAGAATAGCCGTCTGTGTGTGCTCCCGATTCAACATGTTGAGCGGAAGGTGTCGGCACGGCCGAAAAGACACGACGGTGCTGGACACACCAATCTGAGTAGGGCGACAGGACGCTCATCGACGGCCAGACATCTATCGACGGCCGAAATCGGCCCGGTGTGTCCGGGCCTTAAGGATTTGAGTCAGAGCGCTGGAATTTTGTTGCAGGAAAGATAACTTAAGATATGAATTCCTCAAAAAGAAAACAGACTTTTAAGCAAACGGATCAAACAGGTCACTTATCTACCTGTCCACTGTTTTGCTAATCTGCTAATCCAAAAATCTTGACAGGTTTATCACAGAAACGGTCCAAAATGTTGACGATTTAATTGACTCAAGAGGGAGTTGAACAATGTCAGAAATGTCTTTTGGCAGTAGTCATGCTTCATATGAACTTCCAGGGTAAGAAACTCTGGTCAAGCACAGGTCACAGCTTGTCACAACAGCTTCCTCAGCGTCTTTTTGGCAACATGTTGAACTGTGACAGGCATCAACAAAGTCAGAGTTCAATGGTCAGCACAAAGCAGGCTTACCGCCATTAAGCCATGGCCCACACGACCCATGTCCCCTTCAGTCACATGGATGAAGTTGACGACAACAAGTGCAAAGCCTAAATCTCAAGAAGCATTTAATTTGGTGGGACCGTAAAGACTTATCTGATCTGAACTACTTTGTCAGAAAGGAGCGTTCACTTGTCTTCCTGGTTGCAGAGTCAAACATGATTAGAAAGTAAGGGTCACAAATGATTAAATAATGTCTTCTAAAGCTGATTAAAAAGTCTTGATATCATTTTTCAAAATAAAAGGTGTCAAGCTGGGTCAAAAAACCACTATCAATACATGGAATATATTCTATGATTTGTGAGTACAAGAATCTATCATTTGTATAAGTCTTCAAGAAGTATGATCCTATATTGTATGGATGTTCAAACGAATAAACATATCTAAAAACGTAGTAATTACTCATTGATAGCCTGGGATTTACGAACAAAGGCTGTCTTCTTCTTTGAGTCTTCTAGTTATAAGCATCACATATGGTTAATTAACTCTATGACATCTGATTATCTCTATTCCCTGTCATGTTAACAAGAGTCATTATTCAAGCAAAGACAAGTCTATCTTTAAAGCCACACTTTCTATTGACAGTGAGGGAGTTTTAAACTTCAAGACCTCTGATTAAACTGATAACAACTTTTTTCCCAGCACTTTGAGAAAACTGAGGTGTTGTTTTCCAAATATAAACGCGTCGTTAAAACAATGGAGCTACTACAGCCGAACAAGGGTAAGAAAAACAAACCAGCCTTTCTATCGAGGTGTCTATTTATTATTGCGCACATCATGTCTCTCCATCACACTTGACTGCACAGTTCAAAGCGTGCGGAGCTGTCACGGCTCTTACCATTATTCTACCATTTTCTGCGGCTATTGTTGGCACAGTCACTCAACATCGCATCTACTCATCCTCGATGGAGAAAACTCACTTTTCTACCACTGTAAGGTGAATATTCAAGGCACCCTGAATCTCATTAGTTGGCGAAATTATAAAAAAAAGAGGAAAACTCACCAGAAACGTATATATTTGGCTCGGTGGCAAACCTACGGCGGCATTGGGTTTGGATGTAGCATTTCCACTGGCATTTCTCAGTCGTTTCATTTCACAAACGCGGTCCTAAAATACTCACTTCAGCTTCCCACGCGCTCTTAAAGGCTAAAAAGAACCGTTTTACTGGCTTACGGTGGAGACTGAGTTTATCTATCAACTTTTCGGACGAGGCTTGTTCTGAAAAGGGGCCGTCCGTTGCAGACTTTACTACTGCAGAGTGCTGCTGAGCCTACACTAGTGTGTACACACGTGACCCTCCCCCACCGTCTCCTCTCTGCTCTACGGTCGCGAGGCCCCAATGGACGTTGTCTGCTCTGATTGGACGCTGGGCTGGGAGGTGGGGCGCGAGGGATTTTGAGGGGAACACACACACCAAACACACATACATTCAAACCTTGAAGTTGATACATATGTCACAATTTGTCAGAACAATTTAACTAATAGTAAGTATCTATCAGTGTCACTTCCTGAGTGATATGTTTGAATGGTGTGCTGCAGTTGCAATTTGCATCTTGTTTGTTTAGTGTTACTACATTATGTGGTGTCCTTAACCTGAACCCAACCCTAACCTTAAAACATTACTAACCTAAAAAAAAAGATTTTAACCACACAAAAAAAACATTTGAATATCAATTACTCACCTCGTGATACCTTCCATTATTGAAGAAAACTTGGCATTCCTCTACGATCAAATCATCAAAAAATTATAAAGTCTTAATTGAATCAAGGTAAATAAGGGCAGTGCTTAACAACAGCAAAACAACACATCTGTTAGCAAACTCTTAAGCAACACATTCAGTATGATCCAAGTCTAATTTATTTAGTGGGAATGCTGATACAAAAATCTTGATTCCGCCCGTTATTTTGCCGGTCTTCTTCTCCCACATTCCACATCGCAGAAACTCCGTTCAAACATCAAAACATTCAGCTCGGTCGGGAATCGATGGCTATTACTTTTCTCATTCATAACTTTCATAATTCCCGAGATATATCCCATAATTCATCACATTTTTAACCATTGAAGTCAATGGAGAAAATCTTCAGACTTGAACAATCTTCATGCGACTTCAACTGCTAACTGTTCATTCAAACTTTCACTCAGAAACCTCATTCCAACTTTAAAATGTTACATATCTTTCTGACATTATCCGTGTAACACAACTTTTAAATCTGGTTCTTACTTTTAGAGATATTAAACATTGTTCAGACCTTGGTACAGAGGCCTTCTTCAGATTTTAACATTAACTAGAGTGCGTGATGTCACAGTGTAGGAAAAGCTTGAAATTTGCCTTCATATTTCTTTTTTAAACTGCCATAATTCCCAAACCCTACATTCCTGAGACATCATTTTTCATGACAAACATAGGAAAACATCTCGTAGCTTGAAAAATGACAAATAATTACGCAAAAATAATTAAACAAAATGCCTCTTGATGGTATGAAGTGACAAAAACTTTCAACATGTCTCCATTAAAGCCCATTGTAATTTCAGGCTGATATTTCCTCACAGCAGCAGCCGCACACCTTTAGTTAAACTGCCAAAAAGGCCACATTATTGACCCGAAAGTACACAAAAACTACACTTCAGATGCTCAAGTTCGTTGACATACTTCACGCTTTGAAATTTCACCGATATCTGTTACGGTTCTTCAACAAAACGTTCACATGTAAGAGGTTTATATCTCATTCAGAACAATGGAAACCTTTGATCTCTGGACACCTAGTTAGCTCAAATATAAACACCTGTGTCATGGAACACGATGATGTCATAACTCCAACTGACATGCTCAGAGCAGCAGACTTCAGATAATGGTTAATGGTCCTGCCCTCAACAGCTCTACGTCAATTATGGGGTGTCATCATATGCCGTTTCCATGGAAACGCATCCCTCGCCATAAAAGACGATGTCGCCATACATTAACTCCTATGAAAATGTTCAAAAAGTGCTCAAACTTCACATGTGTGCTTAACAGTCCAGCCGTGAAGACATCTACAGGACAGTTTTGAGATTTCTTCAAATGTCGTTGCCATGGTAACACAATGCTCGCCATGAAACACGGTTTTCTCATAACTTCAGTTAAAATGCTCCAAACAGCCCAAAACCTCACAGGTTTGGTAACGATGCAGCCATCAACGCATCTAAGCGTATTATGGGATGTCATCAAATGCCGTTGGCATGGCAACAGATCATTCACCATCAAGTTAGTTCAAAAGTTTGCAGTTCAAATATTCTGCTGCTTTTCCAAGCCTTTTTACTTTCTTTTCTTCACTCATCACACCCCAGTGTTCATGTATCATTTCAATCTAAATTCTTCACTTTCTTCTTACACATTACATTTCAGCATAGCAGTTTAGCGTCAGCTTTTCAGCATAAAGCATTCCCACTAGCAATTTCTTCAGGAATTGCATTCTCTAGTTTCGAATGATATTGCACATGTTAGTACATGTACAGTATGTTTGCTCAGTTCTTACTATTTAACAAAATATTTTAAACTTCCAAGATTTCACTTTTTTTCAATGTGCAAATCTATAAGAACAGGTGGATGGTAGGGTAACTTCTGAAAGTGCATAACAAAGAGATAATTGTGAACAGGAATTACTGTACAGGGAACAAATCCAGTTTTAATGTTCTTTTTGGCCCCTGGCTATTCATTTCAGAGTCAGAAAGAAATGTTGAACCTACCCTTTAACCTAACCAGATATCTCTATCACCCTGAACATGAGGTCATACTGAAAAACAGCAGCACATTAAAACAACACCAGGGACTATATTAGTGGGGTTGTGTTTTTTCAGGATCTGGCGAGATATGAACTAAATCTAGGAGGGACAGCCAAATATCCATGATTTCCAAAGTTTTTCAGTCATAAATGTGCCATTATTGCATTTGACTAAATGTCATTAATTAGAGGACAAATCCTTGCTTCAGACAAACAATCTTTTTATTTCCTAAAGGTTATCCTGCTTGTCCCATCCCTCAAAATGAAAGAAAATTAAACTCATGTCTGAATGCCTAGAGGAAGTATGGTGGCTTCTATTCTAATGAACATAATGAGAACATGTTTTGTAGTGAAGCAGACTGTGTTTTTCGCCTTTGGGAATGAATACATTATGTTAGAAAGATGAAATGCCTGTGTGTTGCTCTGATGAATGGAGCAACAGAAGTTTGCTAAGAAGATTAAGGATTATCATACATTTGCCACAGTTTATAGTTCAAATCATAATCCTGACATAATAGCAAATTATTAAATGAAGTATCAAGCATTTGTGTCTCAACAACAGCTAATTTCACAATGATTTACTGTATTGTATAGTCCATACAGATAATAAGCAAAGTTACTTAATAACTCAATTGTTTTTATTGTTGCAGTGCATAAAGGCTGCAGTGTTTTATGACCAAATACTCACATATACATTTTCTGTCTTTTGCTTTGCTGGTTACACATTCTCCATGCTGCATTTTGCAAAGCCAGTGACACATTGGATTTTAATCACCCAAATAATTTGCAACCATTTCAAGGTTTTATAGTGATAAACTATCATCAAAGCACAACATTAATGTCATGTTCAATTTTAATGTCACTAACTTATAAAACCTTATTTGATCCTGCTAAGCTCCACAGGTCTGTGATAACATGGCCCCTGCAGCGGTAACATCAGGTCTTAATCAGGGCTTCACTGTGTACAGATCCATCCCTCAATTTCCTGCTCAGCACCTGAGGGGAAAGAGGGATAGAGCAACAAAGCCCTAGAGTGAAACCCTGAAGGTCCACAGTGTGAAAAGAACCTGGAAGCAGATATTTCATTAAAATCTCAATTTATCGGTGACCCTTCAGCTCTCCTTGCATGTAATGGATTAGTTCTAGGCCGGCAATAAAAATGAAAAACAGTAGTGAAAGATTTTTGGAATGCACAGCTTCAAAACAGAAAAGCCTTGCCATGGCTTAGTGAGCGAACTGGAGTTTTATCGAGTGTGTAGGAGTGCTGAACATAAGTCTCTAGCACAACTTTGACAGAACTGAAGCAGAGAAATTGGAATGAAATAATTTAGTTAGTGTAACCAGACTTCTAATAGATTCAGTATATAGCCTCTTCTTCAGTGATAGACGCTTCTTAAAAATGCCCTATTTTGCTTTTCGGAGTTTCCCTTTCTTGTAGTGTGTTATATACTGTAGGTTGTTTCTCTCCCAAACCCTGCCTAAATGCCACGATCAAAGTGACACTAGTGACATATGTAACACTATCACTTCTATTGGTTAGTGCTCCAACACATTGTATGTGGAAGACTAAGGGGTGGGACATCTCTAAGTGGTTGAACAATCACAACCGAGCCGGCCAGCTAACCAATCAAGCAGACTGGGATTCTGGATTCAGACCGAGGGTGAAAAGAGGTTCTGCAGCACAGGCAATATGAGAAAAATAAATAACTTTTTGAACATTAAAGCATGTAAACATGTCACAGTAGAGGCATAAAATAAAAATATGAACCTGAAAATTAGCTTTTTAGGGCCCCTTTAAAGTTAGAGAATACATAGTACAATTTGATTACTGACCCTTCGGTAAATGTAATACAAACTGTTCCCTGGTTGTTGCTATCATTGAATCTTATCAGCCTCGGAATAGCAGACAACTCTAAATGTTAACATGAAAATGACATTCACTTTGTCACTTTATCTTCAAAAAGTGCAAATTCCAAGACGAAAATACTTTGTAATATCAGTTGGCAGTAACAGCAGATTAATACAGTGGAAACATTCAATCTTTCCTTTTGCATGTGCTATAGCAATCACTTTTGCAAGAGCTCTGCATCTCAGGAGTGAGTCTTAAATGTCAAGCGCTACACTTTCCACAGCTGCAGCGATGATGGAGCCAAATCAGAAGCAAGCATGGTTCAAGAGGAGTATTTTCCTTAGAGGAGCAGGGAGATATCCACCAATTCACTGAAGTATGTAGATGATGCTGAGGCTCTGGAGGATATGATATACAAAAACAATTATTACAATTACACCTTTCATCACATTATTACGCAAACAAAATGGATCAGTATGACCTTTGCATTTACCTACGGTTATGATCTATGAGTCTGCAAATCTTTGACTGTGTAGAAGTAAAGTACGAGATCCCTCTTGTTCCTGGCCAGCGAGCTCAATCTGTCCTTTATCTCTGCTTCTTATCAAACAGTAGTAGAACACAGAGGTCTACGCACACATATTTCGATTTCTTCCATCAATTCAACTGTTGACACTGTTAACTT